TCCATCCTCTCTCCCCAGCCTTCCTGTCTGCCGGCCTCAGGGTACTGGCACCCTCAGAGACCTACACCCAGCCCGTGAGCAGCTCCAGCTGGGAGCCTCGGCTGGACTCCCCATTCCCATCAGGCCCTTCCACAAGCTCCATAGGGGCCCAAGCCGTGGCTGAGCCCACCGGGCAGGGTCCCAAGAACCCGCTTGTGTCCAGCGTGACGGTTCGGCTGGAGATGAAGGCTCTGTGGGAGGAATTCAACCAGCTGGGCACAGAGATGATTGTCACCAAGGCGGGCAGGTGTGAGCACAGGCGTGTGTGTGGTGGGGGCAGGGGGCTGGGGCCGCATTCGGGCTGCTGAGCACCTCCCTCCCGCAGGAGAATGTTCCCCACCTTCCAGGTGAAGATCCTGGGCATGGACACGCTGGCTGACTACGCCCTGCTCATGGACTTCGTGCCTCTGGACGACAAGAGATACAGGTCTGGGGGCTGGCCGGGGGGAGCAGCTCAGACCTCAGCGCTGAGACGGGGAGACAGACCCCTACCTGCACTCTGGGGTGAGGCAGGCCAGCGGGAGCAGTGTCGGGGAGGCCCATCCGGGGGCAACAGTGGGAAGCCTGGTGGCGCAGGGGTGGGGGCCCAGCTCAGGCAGCCGACAGCCTGAAGTGGGCAGCGGGCTAGCCTGGGCAGGCAGAGTGGGCTAGCCCAGGGCAGCAGCTGCAGCCACAGGGAACTCAGGGCCGGACAGCACTCTTGGAGCCTCTGTGCGAGATGGGACAGTGCACGGGCAGTAATGAGCAGTGACAGCCCCTCCACCTGCCAGGCTTGGCTCTGGGGGGCAGCAGATGAGTGTCGTGGGGGCAGACGGGGCGCCCTCGCCACCTCGTCCTGCTCCCCAGGTACGCCTTCCACAGCTCGGCCTGGCTGGTGGCGGGCAAGGCGGACCCGGCCACGCCCGGCCGCGTGCACTTCCACCCCGACTCGCCGGCCAAGGGTGCGCAGTGGATGCGCCAGATCGTGTCCTTCGAGAAGCTCAAGCTGACCAACAACCTGCTGGATGACAACGGCCACGTGAGGCCTGGGCCACAGCGGGGAGGGGCTGGGCCCGGGCGGGGGACGCTGGGGCCTGATGATGACGAAGCCAGGAGCCAGGGCCGGCTGTCCTTTGGTGCCTGGTGGCCTCGGTGCCCAGCACCCCCGCCTGCTGCTGATGGCCAAGGCTGGGGGCCGAGTTCACCTGGCCGGGGGTTGGACAGCAGAGGGGACTGTCTAGGCAGGTGGCGAAGTGGGCTGAGGGCGTGGGAATGTTCCAGCAAACTGTCCTCCTCGTGGACAATGTTTATGAGACACCCACCACGGGCCAGGCCTGTTGTAGGTGCAGGAACACAGCATCGTTGACACTTTGTCAAACAGACAAAGATCCCTGCTCTTGTGGGGTAGGGGGCAGATGGTAGGAATCCAGAAGACACTGTATGCAGTGTCTCAGATGGTGACAAATACCAGGAGAAAAAGGAACCAGGGAGGGGGGCTGAGACGGAGGTGGCTCTTCTGCTCAGGGGGCTCAGGAAGCTGCTAAGGGGATGTTTGAAGAGATCTGATGGAAATGGAGGAGGGAGCCTGTGCATATAGAAAGGGAGCTGTTGCAGGCAGAGGGAACAGCAAGTGCAAAGGCCCTGGGGAACTGCAAGGAGGCTCCCGTGTGGCTGGAGCGAAGCAAGGAGGAGAAGCTGGAGGAGAGGAGATCCTAGAGGCTGCCCGGGCTGGTCTGCAGGGCCAGTTTGCTGCCGAGAGGATTCTGGCTTTTACTCTGTGCGGAGTCGGAGCCACAGGAGGGTTTTGAGCAGGGGGTGACATGCCTGGCTCACGGGGGCTGCTGTGTGGAGACTGGACAGAGGGGCCAGGTGAAGGCAGGGAGACCAGCCAAGAGGCAGCTGAGGAAATCCAGGAGAAAGATGATGGTGGCCAGGTGGGGTGGGAGAGGCAGTCAGATTCTGGATAGTTCTGAAGGACAAGCTGACAGCCGCGATGTGGGTGTGAGAGAAGGCAGAGCGGTAAGGATGCTCAGCCTCAGTGAGGGCTTGCTGCTGCCCGCCCCGTCCACCCCCTTCCGCACCCCTACAGATCATTCTCAACTCCATGCACCGCTACCAGCCCCGCTTCCACGTGGTCCTCGTGGACCCACGCGAGGACAGCGCGCGCTACGCCCAGGAGAACTTCAAGTCCTTCATCTTCACGGAGACCCAGTTCATGGCCGTGACGGCCTATCAGAACCACCGGGTAGGTCAGACCACAGCTCCCGTGGCAGCTGCCAGCCCACTTCACAGGGACGGAGACCGAGGCCCGAGGCGCTTAGCCCCTCCATGCACACAGACCCCTGCCCTCCTCCCCTTCGCTGGGACTCAGTGGGCACCTGCCAGTCATCCCCTTGCCTTCACGCCACTGGCTCTGTGGTTCCTGGGCTGAGGGGCCCGGGTCGCAGGGCCTCCTGACTGGGGGATCCAGTGGGGACAGGGTGGCTGAGCCAGGGCTGACCCATAACTGCACTTTCTCCTCTGCAGATCACCCAGCTGAAAATCGCCAGCAACCCTTTTGCCAAGGGCTTTAGGGAGAGTGACCCGGACTCCTGGTACTGTCCAGCCCCTGCCAGTCCTGCCCTAACCCAGCCCCTCACCCCAGCCCCAGGCATCTCCTAGGCCCTCAGCTCCTGACCCCTGTTTTAGGGTCATGCCCACTGACTTGTCCTGGGGGCCCACTGTCTGACTCTGACTGTGCCTGGGTTCTTCACCTTGACCCCTCCCCACTCCTGCTTGCCCCACCTTCAGGACTGTATCTCCACGGCCCCCGCTCAGCGTGCCAGCCCAGCGCTGCCGCAGGCTTGCCTCCTGCCTGCTGAAGGGCTCCACGGAGCAGGAAAAAGGTGAGGCCAGAGCCTGTACGGTGGGCGGGGAGTGAGCGGACGGCCACAGGGCCTCCAGCAAGCGGCTTCAGCGCGCTCAGCAATCCCACTGGACACCTGTGTGGACAGAGAAGGCGGGGAGCGGGGGCAGAGATTTCTAAGACAGTATCGGGCCGAAGGCAGGGACAAGGTGCTGAGAGCAGGGGTAGGGGGTGTCAGGCGGGCTCCTCCTCCTGGAGGAGGTGGTTCCCAAGCTGGGCCTTGGAGGACTGGGAAGCGTTTGGACAGAGAGAGCAGGTGGGGAAGAGCAAGGGCAAAGGCTGAGAGGTGGGCAACTTGGGATGGGAGGAGCCAGGACCAGGACAGGGCAGGCTGAGGGTGTGAGGGAAGGTCTGGGGTCCACTCAGACCATTGCCTCCCTCAGATCTCAACAAAGCTCCAGCCTCCACCTCCAGGACTGCTGCCCGGCTCCACCATCAGCTGCTGGCGCCCCCTGAAGCTCTGCTGGCCCCAGCCACCTACCGGTCCCCCGCCTATCAGAGCCTGTACCCTGGAGCCTCAAGCCCCCTCAGGATCCCAAGGGCCAGACCCACACCGTACCCCCTTCCCAGTATCCAGGCTGACAGAGATCAGGGGGGCCTGCCCCTCCCAGCTGGGCTGGGGCTTCTGTCCCCCACCGCCATGTGCCTGGGGCCTGGCCAGGACCCTCAGTGATGGTGGGAGCCCTGTGGACACAGTCCTCTTTTTTAAAAATTTTTTTTAATTGTGAAATTTTTGTTGTACATTATCATTTATCAGTCACCATATAAATGCATCCCTCCACCCCTTGTGCCCCCACACACACCTTGCCCCTGGTAACCACCAAACAGTTCTATCTGTCCGTATCTTGGTTTATCTTCCACATATGAGTGAAATCATGCAGTGTTTGTCTTTCTCTTTCTGGACAGAGTCCTCTTATCCTGGACCACACTTCCTCCAGCCCCATCTCTGCAGAGACCCCTCCCTTCCCAAGGAGAGCAGAGCAGGTGGGGGAGGCTACCTGCCCAAAGTCATAGCAAGGCTGGGCTTGGAACCAGGCCTCCTACCTCCCAACCTGCCCCCTCTGCCTTGGGGGTGACTCCTCCAAACCCTGATTTCCTCTCCCTTCCCCCAACATTAAACCATTTGGCATGGGTGGTCAGAGCACTTCTGTCTTCGGGGGTTACGGTGGAGGGCCTCAGGAAAGCAGGAGAGTGGCAGAACTGTGAGGGAGGCTGGGATTCCTGCTCCCTGCCTTGTGTGCCCGGATGAGGACCAAAACCAGCTCAGAGAAGCACTGGGACCTGCTCAGTTACCCAGCAAAGCACGGCGACACCTGCCATGCCGGGTTTAGGTGCGGTGCGCAAGGCTGGGGTCCTCTGGTCGTCGGAGGGGTGCAGAAGCACGTCGGGCAGTGACCACCCGGGCCACAGCGGGGGCGAGGGAGAGATGTGAGAATCCGATCAAGAGAAAGTGACACTTAAACCAACACCTAAGGAGTAGAAACTGCAGGAGACGGGGAGGAGGAGGGACGAGCTCCCGGCGGTTGGAAAGCAGGGCAAAAGTCTGGGGCTGGAGTCGGGGCCCAGGGAGCGGGAGGCGGCGGCGCGCGCCACCCCGCGGAACCAGGGGAAAGGCCCGGAGGGAGGCCGGGTACTCCTCCCGCGGCCCCTGACGCCCTCTGCCCTCTGGAGGGGCGCCCGACGGACCCCTAAACGCCAACTCCGCGCATCCTGGAGCACTTCCTGTGACAACAGGCAGACACCCCCACTCCCAAAGCCCGCAGTCAGGAAGGCCGGGGACGGTCGCCGGGCCGCGCGGGACCCAACCTGCTTCGGGACACACTCGCCGGACCATCCACCCAGCTCCGCCCCCGGCCCGAGCCCGCCCCCTGCGGGAAGCCCATGCCGCCGGGCCCCGCCCCAGCCTCGCCGTGCTGGCCCCGCCCCCGCCGCCGAGGCCCCGCCCCCTGGAAGGCCCCGCCCCCGCCGCCGGCGGAGCTCGGCGACCACGGGGCGGGGCGGGGCGTTCCGGCCAGCTCCTCCCGCGGCCCCCGCCGGGATTCCCGAGGGACCCCGGAGTGCGCGCGCCGCCCCGCCCCTTCCCTCGCCCGGCTCCGCGCCTGGGTGTCCCGGCCGCGTCCGGCCGGACATGCTGCCCGACTGCCTGTCGGCGGAGGGCGAGCAGCGCTGCCGGCGGCTGCTGGCGGGGGCCACGGCCCGGCTCCGCGCGCGGCCCGCCGCGGCCGCGGTGCTCGTGCCGCTGTGCTTGGTGCGCGGGGTCCCGGCGCTGCTCTACACGCTGCGGTCCAGCCGCCTGGCCGGGAGGCACAAGGGTGATGTCAGGTACACAGGCTGGGAGCTCCTCTCCCTTCTAGGAGGCTCCCGGAGACCGCGGGGACCGAGGGCAAGGCACTTAGCCTCCCCGAGCCTCGGTTTCCGCTTCTGTAGAATGGGTCTGGGGAGAACCCGTCCGCCCGCGGGCTGCGGCGGGGAGTCGGCTACCCGCGCGCCTCCGCCTAGAGCCTGGAGCCGCGGGTGCTCCGGTCCGGGAGCCGCCCTGGGTCCCTCGTAGCGCGTCCCGCACCAAACTCGGGCTGGGACATCTCTCTGAGCTGTGGCCACCCCTCTAAAAAGACAGGACCCTGCCCCCTGCTGGCAATTATGGGGAGATTCGGGTCCCCGAGCCGCGGAAGCGAGCTGGGCGGGGCACCGTAGGGTCAATGTCAGCACCGCTGGGGCCGCCATAGGCAGAATATTGGTGTCTGAGCCCCAGGCCCTTCTTGCCTCTGCTGCTAGACCCCCATCTCCTACCCCGGTGCCCAGGGCCTCTCTCCATTACCCCCACTGCTCAGGGAAGTAAACTGAGCCTCTGAGGTCGTGAGGCCTACCCCCGGCCTCACAGCAAACTAGCGGCAGAGGCAGCCCATGCTTAGGGGGGTCACTGGCCCTCTGCCCCAGCCAACACCCTCACCCCCGCCATGGCGGCAAGGGCCAGACTCCCTGTGCCTGTTCAGTTTCCCAGGCGGCAAGTGTGACCCCACTGACCGGGACGTGGTGCACACGGCCCTGAGGGAGACCCACGAGGAACTGGGCCTGGCTGTGCCTGAGGAGCATGTATGGGGCATCCTGCAGCCCACGCATGACCAGGTGAGCCCGCCAGGCCCTGAGGCCACCGCCAGCCCTTACCCCATTCACAACTCTGCTTGCCCTGGGCCAGGAGCCGGGACTTCAGGGAAACTGAAGACTCCCACAGGTGTAGAGTGCAGAGGAGCACCAGACACCTGCCTGGCAGTCGTGTTCCATTCCCTCACGACCTGCCGGGGAGGGGCCCGGGGTATATTATCCCCTTTTGGGGGGATACTGAGGCTCAGGTCCCAGGGGGAGGTGGCCCCAGGGTGAGCCAGCTCTGTTCAGCTTGGTGGACGAAGGTTGGGGAAGGCTTCACAGGCTGGGCAGGGATTGAAGGACAAGTGAGAGATTTTACAGTAGAAGTAAGGAAGGTTGTTCTAAGTGGAGGGAACAGCTGCCAAGGCCCAGAGGCCCGAACGGGTCTAGTGCATCTGGGGGACCTGAGTCAGCGTGGCTGGAGTGAGCCCCAGGGCAGGGGCCAGGGGGACTGCTGAAGGCCCCTGGATGGCAAGGTGAGGTCTTCCTCTCAGGCTCCCCTCCCCGACCCTAAAATCCCGCTGAGGCCAGGCCTGCCCTGACTGCCTGCCCTCCCACCCCAGCAAAAGGCCTCAGTGGTGCCGGTGCTTGCCAGCGTGGGCCCACTGGATCCCCAGAGCCTCAGGCCCAACCCCGAGGAGGTGAGCTGGGCAGGCTGGGGCCGGGTTGTCCCAATGCGGGGAGGCTGCAGCGGCCAGCCCTCCATCCACCGTCTCGCTGCCTGCTGCCCACAGGTGGACGAGGTGTTCGCACTGCCCCTGGCCCATCTGCTGCAGGCGAAGAATCAGGGCTACACCCACTTCCGCCAGGGCGGCCTCTTCAGCTACACACTGCCCGTCTTCCTGCACGGGCCACACCGGGTCTGGGGGATCACGGCTGTCATCACCGAGTTCACCCTGCAGCTGCTGGCACCTGGTGCCTACCAGCCCCGCCTGGCCATCCCTCAGCTGTCCAGGGGCTGAGGCCTGGCCCTCAGCAGCCCCTACCTTCGCGCTGCCAGGCCAGCTCCACTTCAGGACTGAATAAAGAGCCTTTACACCACTCTGGCAACTCTGTCTACTGCACTGGGGCCCTGACTTTGGCAGACCCCACCGGACAGCTGGCCTCCTGGTGGGGTGCCTCTGTCCAGTCATACTGTCACCCACAGCTGTGGACACTCACTGTGATACTTACTGTGTGCCAGGCACTTTGCGTCATTTCTCCCATATCAGCCTCACCACGGCCCCATGGTGAGGCCGACGCCGTCCCTGGCTGGTGTGATGGACCCAGGGACGACAGACACCTTGCCCAAGGTCACCCCAAGCAGGGGTTTGGACCAGGCCCTCTCTGACTCCAGAGCTGTCAGCTGCTGGGCTCTATGAGTCTCAGCTCACCCCTCCTGCCCCTCACCCCTCCTGCCCCCCTCCGTGCCTCCGACCCCGTGTCAGGCTCCAGGGATCCGGAGAGGAGCCCTGCGTGTTACTGCAGACCTCCGACACGCCGAGCCGTGCTGGGGCCACATCTGCAGACCAGCTGGATGCTGCCCTGCCCTCTGCAGGGATGCTCCGTCAGGGGAGACCTTAGACCAGATCACACAGATAATCGTGTGATTGCACATTCATTAATCACAGATAATAGTGGGACTATACATCAATCTGTAGACCAGGGTTCTGAGGGAGACTTGAAGGAGTGGGCAGTCCGACCTTGACATGGTGATCTGGGAAGACTTCTTGGGCAGTATTAGCCAAGACAAGTGACAGAAAACTCCACCCATTAGCTGACTTTGCCAAAAGAGGAATGGTGATTACAAACTCCAGAGACAACTATTGTCAGGCATGGCTGGATCCAGGGGCTGAGCAGTGCTCTTTCTCTTTCTGTGCTTCCCACCGTGTTGGCTTCACTCTCAGGAGCATTCTCTGCCCCACAGGGATGAAGGGTGAGGAGAGGGCAACAGCTCCAGGATGGCATGGCACCGGCATCCCATCAACAGAAAACAGCTGCCCTTTCTCAGCCAGTCTCACCCAGAATTGCACTTTACTGCCTGCCGTGGGTCACATGCCCTTCCCTGGGCTTGCCACGTGGCCTGCCGGATGTGGAATTCGTGGATTGGGAAGGTCTGGGGCACAGGCCTGGGGAGGAGGGTAAATCTCCTGGACTGAGAGTAGGGAAGGGGTGGCCCAAAGGACCACTGGGAAGAGAGGGAAGGGAAGGCTGACCAGGTGAAAACCAGCCAAGTTTCCCCACAGGGAGGGACTTGGAAACCAAAGGTGGCAGGAGCGGGCCAGGTCAAAGGGCAGAGGAGGTAGTGGGGCAGAAGGAGCAGCACATGCACGGACATGGGGGGTGCACGGGAACCAAGAGTGATGTGGAGGTGGGGGAAGGACCCCACCACTCGGGGCCGCTGCCGTGAGGTAGCCAGAGGACACGCCTTAGCAATGGGTTAGGATTTTATTCCAAGCCGGGAGAGGGAGAGAGATGGTGAAGGAGTCATGTTTTAAAAAGCTTGAGCTGGCTACTGCAAGGGGACCTGGTTGCAGATGCCCTCCTCCTGGGTGCCCCTCCTCCCCTGGCGCCCCTCCCCCTCTCCACACAAGCCCTCCCTTCTCACCTTCCCATGCACCCCCTCCACCCCTCCCCCTCCCCACACGCCTCCCCACATGCTCCCTCCCCTGCACCCGTCCCTTCTCACCTACCCTTTCCTCCCCACACACCCCTCCCATTGCCCCTCACACCCCTTGTGGCACCTCTGGCCCTCCAGCCTCCTCACCTGGGAGCAGGGCCACATGACAGTGGTAAAAATAACTCTCTGACAGTGTGTGAATGGGGAGGGGAGGGGGGCGAGGGAGGAGGAGGGAGGCTGACCCCCCCCAGCACTGGGGAACAGAGCCTCGGGGTAGAGGGCAGGCAGGTGCTGGTCTCCTGAGCTCTGGAGTTGGGTTCTGAGCACCCCCAGTCCCGCTCCCCCTACTCACTCACAGCCTTGCTCACACGGCTGCCTCTGTCAGGCGCACAGCTGGGGCCAGCATCGAACCAGACCAGCTGGAGGAGCTCTCGGAGGGTAAGTAGCCCAGCTGGCCTGACCGCCAGCGCACCGGCTCCCCATCCGGGCCGGAGTCCCTACTTCTCCCCCGAACTCGCCTTGACCCTGCGCTCCGTCCTCAGGTCCCGGCTGCCAACCTGGACCCCCCGTCGGCGCCCTCAGTGATGCCTCTTGGCCCTGTCTCGTTGGCCTGGTGCGTTCCCCTCATCTCCAGTCTGCAGGGACTTCTCTGAGTCCCCGCCCCCCTGTCCTTGCCCCCATGACAGGCATGGCGGCGGCAAGCCGGGGGCGGCCACAGCGGGTGAGCATGCAGGAGCACATGGCCATCGACGTGAGCCCGGGCCCCATCCGGCCCATCCACCTCATTTCCGACTACTTCCCGCACTTCTACCCGTTTGCGGAGCCCGCCCAGCACGCCCCAGGCCCACGCGCTGCAGTGACTCCCGCCATCCACTCTGCACCCCAGCCGCAATCCGACCCAGAACCAGAGGGAGACTCAGATGACAGCAGTGAGTTGGGGTGGGGGACAAGGGGGACACCCCGTGCCCAGCCCAGCCAGGATGGCATCTGGGGCACCCCAGGCATTGACTGGGGAGGGGGAGGGCAAGAGGCATTGTGTTGTGGGGGGGCGGTGAGGTAGGAGCTGACCCTGCCTGCACCCCCGCCCTTAGCTGCCCTGGGCACCCTCGAGTTCACGCTTCTTTTTGACGCGGACAACAGTGTGCTGCACTGCACCGCTCATCGTGCCAAGGTGAGGATGGGGGCGGGGGTCCCTGGCCCGTGGGCCTGGGGTGCAGGCCTGCCCCACATCCACTGTCTGTTCCTAGGGCCTCAAGCCACCTGCCTCAGGCTCCATGGACACCTATGTCAAAGCCAACCTCCTGCCTGGGGCCAGCAAGGTGAGGCGAGCCCCAGGCCCTGCTACTGCCCCTTGGCCACACACCCAGCCTGGAGCACCCACCTGGCCCTGCCCTACTTCTCCCCTTCAAGGCCTGGACATCAGGCCTGGAGCTCCCCATTGCCCGGATGGGCAACTGGGGGCCCTGTCAGGGAGGCGGGCCAGTGTAGGTCCCTGGGCCCGAGGAGGCCCTGACCCACCCTGCCGGGCCCCCAGGCCAGCCAGTTGCGGACATGCACGGTTCGGGGCACAAGGGGGCCCGTCTGGGAGGAGACACTCACCTATCACGGCTTCACCCGCCAGGACGCTGGGTGCAAGACCCTGCAGTAAGGATCGGGCCTGGGCCTCGAGGGGGCGGGGCGGAGGGGGCTTGCCTGGCCAGGTCTGACCTGGGCGGCCTCCAGGCTGTGCGTGTGTGAGGACCCGCGGCTGCGTCGACTGCGGCGGGTACCTCCCCTGGGGGAGCTCCGAGTGCCCCTGAGGAAGCTGGTGCCCAACCGAGCCCGCAGCTTCGACGTGTGCCTGGAGAAGCGGAGGCTGGTGAGTGGAGCTGGCGTCCAAGGTGGGGCTTCAGGGGCCAGGAACCTTGTGATGGGGGAGCTGGAGATGGGAGGAGCAGGGAGGGGGCACTGGGCAGTATCCAGCCAAGGTGACCAGGCTCTCTGTTCTTTCAGACCAAGAGACCTAAGAGCCTGGACATAGCCCGTGGCATGTCCCTGTATGAGGAGGTGGGTAGGACGGTGGGACCCAGCAGGGAGGGGGGTGGGCAGGCCTGGGGTGGTCCAGGCTGAAGTGGGTCACGCAGGGACCAAGATGGGCTGGGCAGGGGTCCAGGCCCAGGGAGGCTTGGAGAAACTGAGGCCCTCTCTCTCATGGGCCCTGTGGGTACTCGTTGCCCAGGGGAACAGCCAGTTCCCAGTGGCAGGGCAGAGGGTGACTCCCCTGCCAGGGCAGCCCCGCGATGCTGTGGGGCGCAGACACTCAGGCCACCTTGAGGCAGAGGCTGGAACTGGTGGGATTTGTCTCTGTTCCAAGATGGGAGGTCAAGGTCCAGGAAAGAATGGATAGGAGTGGGGCTCCCTGGCTGCTAGGTCAGCCACTGGGGCAGGTAGCCCTAGACAGGCCCTTGTCAGGAGGCAGTGAAGGTGACTACAGGGGGCCCCATGGGAGACCAAAGACCTGGCCAGAACCCCTGGGGCCCAGCAGGGGCGTGGCATCCGCAAGGCTGAGGCAGCAAGGTCCCATGGAAGGGCCAGGTGCTGCTGCCCTGCCCCCTGGTGGAGCCACAAGTTGCTGCAGCTGCTGATTAGCCAACGCCAGGCGAGTCCCACCAATGTGGGACTCCCACTTCCTGCCCCAGACCCCACACACAGCAGCGCCAGAGCACACGGTGGGTGCTCACGGAGCGCTCCCTTACTGAGAACTGACTATGAGCCAGGTGGTCGGGCTTTCTGCCAACCAAATGGAATACTACGATAAGTGTGGGAGTGGGACATTCTTCCCAGACGCCTTCCGAGTCCCTCTGGAAGCACCAGGGGCCGAGTGTGGCAGAGGACATTCAGGATCTGGTCCCCTGGGTGATGGGGGTGAAGAGGGTGGGTTTTGTAGCTGAAGAGCCCCGTATGTCCCTGGATGGAGAACAGCATCTCACAGCTGCTTCCGTGACACGGGGCTTGCCCTGCAGGAGAATAGTGATGGGCACATGGTGGGAGGCCACTTGGGAAGCTCCTGGCACGTCTGTGGTACTCAGAGACATCACTTTCCTTCTCCTCCATGAGAGATGCACTGAACTGACCAGTCACATGGCCTGAGCAGGCCCCAGAGGGTACAGCTGTCCTGTAAGTTCCCTTCCAGGGCACTAGGCCAGTGACTGTTTTTGGAAATTGAATCATGCAATTAAATGGTTGGCCCTGATTTCTTTGCAGCCAGTCTGAATTCTCACATCCAGGCCGACATGGGTAGGTGGGTGGGCTTTGGGCTGTGCTGGGGCTGACCCCCACCCACCCTTGCAGGAAGAGGTGGAGGCTGAGGCGGCCGGGGAGGAACGCGGGCGCATCCTGCTCTCACTGTGCTACAGCTCTCAGCGGGGCGGCCTGCTGGTGGGCGTGCTGCGCTGCGCCCACCTTGCCCCCATGGACGCCAACGGCTACTCGGACCCCTTCGTCCGCCTGTGAGTGTGAATGGGTGGGACAGGTGGGCAGCAGGGGCTCACCTCTCCAGAGCCACATCTAATCCTCCCCTCCCCTCCCCAATCAGCTTCCTGCATCCAAACGTGGGGAAGAAATCTAAATACAAGACCAGTGTTCGGAAGAAGACCCTGAACCCCGAGTTCAACGAGGTAGGACAGGGCTGGGTGGAGGCCGTCCTGGCTCAGTCAGAAAGTGCAGGTCCCAGCTAACCTGAGCCACTCACCTGCCTGAGCCTGTTTCTGAAGCTGCGAAGGACCCACGGCCACCTCCTTCCTGCCTTTCTGCCCCCTTCCCTGCAGGAATTCTTCTATGCAGGCCCCAGAGAGGAGCTGGCCCAGAAGACGCTGCTCGTGACTGTATGGGACTATGACCTGGCCACGGCTGACGACTTCATTGGTGAGTGGGAATGCAGGGAATCTGGGGTGTGGGGCCCAATGGGCTCCTACACGGCTCCTGACCCCATCCCCCAACCCAGGCGGGGTGCAGCTGAGTGGCCGGGCCAGTGGGGAGTGCCAGCAGCACTGGCGTGAGTGCCTGGGCCACAGTGACCGCCGGCTGGAGCTGTGGCACCCGCTGGACGGTGCACCCCTCCAGCTCAGCGACTAGCAGCGGCACATGGCCCTGCTCACTGCTGCTCCCCTAAACTGACCCACGGACGTCTCCAGAGCTGGGAGGACCTGGGGCTGCCTCACCCACCGCGCCCAGTCCCTAGTCCATTGTTTCCTCCCTTCCCCCCTTTCAAATTCACCCCACTGCCAAATCATGAAGCAAGAATAAACCTCTCCTCCAAACCAGACTGCCGAGCCTGTTCTTTCCCTTCCCATCACCTCACAGGGCAGACTGGCCCCGTTCTCCTTGCTCCCCTCTCCAGGGTCCCAGGTCTGGACCCCAGGCCACAGCTTTCCCCTCACCACACCCGGGAAAGCCTGCCTGCCCGCCCCTGCCTCCTGCACTGAGGAATGGGTGCCCAGGATGCCCTAGGACAGACTGACCCACAGGAGGCCAAGGTGTGGATTCACGACATGACCTTGAGCTGGCCTGTCCCTCCCAAGCCCCCAGGTCTGTCAGGGAAACAGGCCTCCAGGAGTAGTGGGCCATGGTGGCAGGGTGAGGACAAGGCCACAGAGAAGCTACAACAGAGGAGAGGGCAGCACCTGTTTTATTGGCCAGCCATTGGACAGACGGACACCAGCCCAGGGCGACGGGCTCAGGAGGCAGCTTGCCTGGCCTGGTGCTGCTGGGCAAACTGCTGCATCCGCTCCTCGAGCTCTGGCCGGAAGTGGCGGATCAGGCCCTGGGGGTGGGCGGCAGCATGTGATGCGGGGTCTGAAAATCCCCCAATGCCCTAGGCTCCCAGCACCCGAGCCGAGTGGCACGCAGCAGGGCAGCAAGTACCTGCACGGGCCAGGCGGCCCCGTCGCCCAGCGCACAAATGGTGTGGCCCTCTATCTGCTTGCTGATCTCCCACAGGGAGTCGATCTCGGCCGGCTGGGCGTCCCCCCGCACGAAGCGGGCCATCACCTTGTTCATCCAGTCCACACCTGCAGGCACGGCAGCGAGAGGGCCTGATGGTCTCCCCAAGGTGGGGCGTGGGGGTGGCGCTCGAGGGGTGCAGGCCACATGAGGGGTGGGCTAAGAGAAGCCACAGCAGGCTGGGAAGCAGCAGCTGTTTACTCAGGGTCCAGGGCCCACTCCACCTTTGTCCTGTGCTGGACCCAGGCCCTGGCTAAGTCACAGAGAAAGGCACCACCCAGCCCGGGGTGCTCACCCTCGCGGCATGGGGTGCACTGGCCACAGCTCTCATGCTTGTAGAACTCAATGAGGCGGGCGATGGCTTTCACAACGTCTGTCTGGGGCGACAAGGGACAGTGAGCAGGCACCTAAGGACTGAACCTGAGCCCCCCAGCAGCACCCCCTCTCCTGATTCCAATGGCATTCTGGGCACCTCCTCCACCCTCCCTGCACTGCCCAGACTCCACGGGCATTCCCCCCAGAGCAGCGTTACTCCCTTCCTCTCCCACCTCACTGTATCTCAGGCTGCAGGAACTGGGACCTGAGAGCTGGCAGGAGTTCTCAGAGAAGCCCAGGAGGGGTGCTAAGCAGGCTGGCATAAGGCAGGGACTGGGTGGGGGGTGAGTTCCAGCCCTTACCGAGCGGTCCATGACGATCACCGCGGCCGTGCCCAGGCCCGTCTGTGCCTGCACCAGCGCGTCGAAGTCCATTAGCACCGTCTCACACACAGACTTGGGGATCAGTGGGGTGGACGAGCCGCCGGGGATCACAGCAAGGAGGTTGTCCCAGCCACCTGTGACACCCCCTGGGGCCCCAGTCAGTCCCCAAAAGGATGGATGATCAGGGCTAGGGCTGGCACACCCTTGTCAGCCCCCACCCCAGCCCCGGCTCCTGAGGCCCTCCCACTCCTGGCTCTCTTCACAGACACCCTGGCCTGTCCCCCACCTGGCTGGCCCCAGGCCTCACCGGCATGCTTTTCAATCAGTTCCTTCAGCGGCACAGACATCTCCTCCTCCACGGTGCAAGGGTGGTTAACGTGGCCAGAGATGTTGAACAGTTTGGTGCCCGAGTTGCGCTCGCGGCCGAAGCTGGCAAACCATGCACCCCCGCGGCGGCAGATAGTGGGAGACACGGCCACTGTCTCCACATTGGCCACAGTTGTGGGGCAGCCGAACACTCCTGCGGGGCAAATGGGACAAGAGACTGGCGGCTGCCAACAGGTGGGGACGGGTTGGGGCTGGTTTCCTGGCCGTGGGGTCTGTCCCAGGTTCTTGCTCCCATGGCAGAGAGCCCCACTTTCACCCCTTTATCATTCTCATCCCCCACTGGAGCCCAAAGTCCAGCAGGAGCTGCATCACCTTGTTCACCACTCTGCCCCTAGCTCCCGGAGGGCTGGAGGGAACCTGGCTGTCTGCCGTGAGGGCAGAGGCAGCATGAGAGACTGCAGGTGGCACTGGTAGAGTTCTATGTTACCTCCCTACTCTCTGTGCCTGGCCCCCAGTCCAGCAGGAACTCAGAAATTCCCTAAGAACTACCAGTGGGAACCTGAACCCTGATCCCGGGCTCCACAGGACAGAGACAAGGCCCAGGATCGGGCCAGGTCTTACCCACGTCTGCAGGGAAGGGCGGCTTCAGGCGGGGCTTGCCCTGCTTGCCCTCAAGGGACTCGATGAGCGCTGTCTCCTCCCCGCAGATGTAGGCCCCAGCCCCGCGCACCACGAACACATCAAAATCGTAGCCGGAGCCGCAGGCGTTCTTGCCAATCAGACCAGCCTCATAGGCCTCTCGGATGGCCACCTGTGGAGAGGGGTGTGAGGGCACCGGCCCTGAGAGCCTGGGGACACCGTGTTTTGGAGGGCGGGGTACCGGCCCAGTGAGCCCATCACCAAAGTCCAGGGCGAAAGCTCCCTTTGGACATGACCAGAGTGTCCCAGGACACTCTGGGAGAGGGGTGAGGATTTTTACAGTGTGCATGCTACTTGTGTAATAACATTTAACAAAATCCTCCAACTACAAGTAAAAGAAAGACTTTAAGAATATAACGAAAATTTTAACAAGTAGTTTCTCCAGGTGGTGGATCTGTGGGAGATTTTTTTTTTTATGCATGTGGTTTCCTAACTTTATAACGTGTTAAGTACTGCTTCTGTAGTAGAAGAAAAGACCCTTGAGGTTTATTTTAAACTATGTAATAATAATAACCCTTATACATCACGCTCCTACATGCCAAGCACTGTTCCAGGTGCTATTCCCATACCCCTCATCGCTGCCGGATAGGAGCCTAATGGAAAGGTGTGAGACTCTGGCCCTGGACCAATCGATACAGACGTCACCAAGCTGCGAATTCCTGAAATGACCTCTTGACTCTTTTGCAGGAAAAATGCCTGAATGTGAATCCCCCAGCCCAATCCCACCCAGGAGTCCTGGAAGGCCTCCCCAGTTGAGGCTCTGGAGGACACAGGAGGAGCCCAGAGAAGGAGACTTGGGGGATCATGTCCCGTTCATGATACATGCAGGGGTGGTCACCCCTCACCCAGTCTGACCTCAGACAGATCAGGTGCTAAATCTAAGAACCACTATCCAGGTGAGCAGGCTTGTGAGTCACACTGAGCGCCTCCTCCCCTGCTGATGGACCCCCCCCGTCCACCTGCAGATTGGAGGCCTCGTTGTAGAATTCCCCGCGGACGTAGATGTAGGCTGCACGGGCGCCCATGGCCCGGCCCCCAACCAGGCAGCCTTCCACCAGTTTGTGGGGATCGTGGCGCATGATCTCCCGGTCCTTGCAGGTGCCCGGCTCCCCCTCATCCGCGTTCACCACCAGATACTTGGGCCTGTGGGGCCAGCAGGTTGGTCAGGCTATGGGCCATCAGGGCTGGGCCGTCAACCACATGCCACCCCACTCCACCCAGGGAAGCCTCAAAGATGTCTCCTCTGACAGCCAATCCCTCTCTGCCCTCCCAACATGTTCCCAGGGGCTCTGCTTGCTCACCACCAATGACAGGGAGCTCACTGACTATTCCATCTGTGGGTGGCTATGAGCACAGGAAAGGTCTTTGTTCTGCTAAATCCAGCTGTCTCTCCTTGTGCTTTCCCAAGAGCCCAAATTCTGCTCTTGGTCACAAAGAGCCTTCCTGAACCTCCACGACATCTCTGGGGCCAAAAAGAAGTAAAGTAGCTAATGTTTATCGTTTGCTTTCTATGTGCCAACCAATGTGCAGGCCAAAAGCTGTACAAACATTATCTCATTAATCCTTGCACAATTATTATATCAATTTACAAAATAAATTTTAAAAAACCCAAAACAACTGAGGTTCAAAAAGGTTAGGAGACTGCCCAAAAGTATGATGTGCGGAAGGCAGAGCTAGGAATTGATCAATTAAGTCTGCCTGACAAAATCTTGTGTTGATTCTGCTACCCCTCAAGTCTCTCCTAAGGAAGACCAGAGAGAATTCAGTCCCATCTAATTAAGCTCTGGTAACACTTTCCCATTTCATTCACTCTTAGTTTCCAAGGAAACAGAGCAAAGGCCCGGGCAGCCCCAGCCACCCCCAAGGTCTCTCCTGCAACCCCATCGCTGCCTCCCTACACACACCTGCCATCTGAGGGCTTATTCATGAAGCTCCACTTGAGGCCAGTGGGGAAGCCAGCGCCTCCACGGCCCCGCAGGCCCGACGTCTTGACCTCACCCAGGATCCAGTCAGGCCCCTTCAGCAGGATCTCTTTTGTCTTGTACCAGTCGCCCCGGCTCTGGGCACCTTTCAGCCTGGACAGAGTGGGGAAGGCAGTGAAGGGGAGGCTCTGCCCCAGGACCCACCAGGCTAAGGGCAGTCTCACCTCCAGTCATGGCGGCCATACAGGTTGGTGAAGATCCGGTCTTCATCCTTCAGCGAGCCAAATGAGGTTTTCTTGGGCGCTGTCTGGGGACACAGAGGGTCAGGAGGCCCAACAAAGCCGTGGGACCGCGAGGGGCCAGGCCAGAAGCTAAGGACTCTTGGGTCCCCCTGATTAAAAGGGGCTAGGCTGGAGAGTCAGTAGGGGCCTAAACCTAGGAACCCTCTGTAGCATCACAGCTACCACCGCCACTAAGTAAGCACTTCCTGGTTAGCAGGCTAAGCATTTTACATCCAAACCCCATTTCATCCTCCTAACTCTGAGACAGGAATGATTTCCTCCATTTCACAAAGGAGGAAACTGAGGCTCAGAGCAAAATGAACTTATGGAAGGGCGCACAGCCAAAAGCAGCAGATGGAATTTGAGCTCAAGTCTGTCCGGGCCAAAGCCCACACC